TATGTAGCTCAAGAGTTAGCTACACTACATGTGCAGTCACAGATTAGCGAGTTAGCCACATTTTATGATTAACGCTAAGCTATCAATAGTCTTAGCGTTAAACTTCTGGCTAGTTTTTTAATGTTTATTCTTGCTTAATCCCTCATAGATTTGTACCTTGATTTTGAACCAACTTTTGTGTTAGTACTAATAAAGTACTCAGGTATAATTAGTTTAATGAGTGGAACTGTTTTAGCATTCACTTTGTTTTTAGCTAACTGTCATTTACAGCTAACGTTTAGCTTGCACTATAATTTTTTTCAAATAAAATGCTGCAGTGAAAATAAACAAAACATCGACTTATGAATACGAATAACAGGACGGGGGAAAAACCAGAGCAGGTACTGTGTCTGAACAGAGGGGGCGCTGGAGCAACATTTTTTTTTTTTTTTTTTTTTTTTAAGTTAGTTAGTTAGTCAGTGAGCAGGGAGGCGTCAGGAGCTCCAAGAAACTTCCAGTCCCGTCGGAGCTCAGACCTGTGACACTGACGTGGCTTTTCTTAGAAAACTCACGCAAAACCCAAGAGAGAACGCTTCAACATTCTGGAATAAATTGACAGCCCAAAGAGGAAGGTGACAAATTCATCATCAGCCGACGATGCAAACAGACTTATTTAAGGAGGTGTCGGTGGCAGGTGTTGTCACTGCAGGAGGTGCACATCTGATCCATGAATAACACACACACACACACACACACACACACAATCAAAGGAGTTTCCACTTCAGTTGAAGGAGTTCATTCACCAAAATCAGATCCTCCATCCCCTGATCACTGCTCTGGAAAGATTCGGGGCTACGTTCTAGCCAAGCCAGTTCCTTTTTTTTTAAAATCAGTCACAAAACACAACAGCGTTTTGTTAGTGTTTGAACATAAAGAGTCAAACGACAACGTTCAGATGATACCAACTCATAATCAGTGGTGATGAAGTGTCATCACACACACTGACGCACACACACACACACACTCAGAGCGATCTCAGATTTGATTTAGTCCAATGAAATGATGGGTCTGCTACTTCAATTTACATTTCATTAGCGTCAGGGAGAATTTGTGACTCTGAGCAGGAGTTCGTCATTTGTTTCTGAAAGGCTTTACGTTCGCTTTTAAAATTCATCGTACGTTCTGACGCCCATCAATATATAAAGATGGTGGTGGTGGGGGGGGGGGGGGGGGGCAGAGGGGGCTAAGCGCGGGGCATGCTACCCATAAGTCCACTGGGTCGTGTCTGGATCAGCTACTGTTATCATAATGAATCACAGCAGGTCAAAGGTCGGGTGCCCACACGATGACATCACTGTTTCACTGTATTAACAGGTCTTTGGAAACAAAGTTGTTCCAGCAAACCAAGAAAAAAAGACAACTTGAAGCAACCAATCAAAACTATCGTCTACACTTAACCCTTGGACACACTGTCTGTACCAGGACTGTTGACGCTAACGGCTATAGTAGATAAAGTTAGCTCTGGTGTCTGTACCAAGACTGTTGTAGCTAACGTTAGCTCTGGTGTCAGTACCAGGACTAAGCTAACGTTAGCTCTGGTGTCTTTACCAGGACTGTTGTAGCTAACATTAGCTCTGGTGTCTGTACCAGGACTAAGCTAACATTAGCTCTGGCGTCTGTACCAGGACTGTTGTAGCTAACGTTAGCTCTGGCGGCTGTACCAGGACTAAGCTAACATTAGCTCTGGCGTCTGTACCAGGACTAAGCTAACATTAGCTCTGGCGTCTGTACCAGGACTGTTGTAGCTAACGTTAGCTCTGGCGGCTGTACCAGGACTAAGCTAACATTAGCTCTGGCGTCTGTACCAGGACTAAGCTAACATTAGCTCTGGCGTCTGTACCAGGACTAAGCTAACATTAGCTCTGGCGTCTGTACCAGGACTGTTGTAGCTAACGTTAGCTCTGGCGTCTGTACCAGGACTGTTGTAGCTAACATTAGCTCTGGTGTCTGTACCAAGACTAAGCTAACAGTAGCTCTGGTGTCTGTACCAAGACTGTTGTAGCTAACGTTAGCTCCGGTGTCTGTACCAAGACTGTTGTAGCTAACGTTAGCTCTGGTGTCAGTACCAGGACTAAGCTAACGTTAGCTCATTTTCAAATTTTTCCCGTTGGTTTAATGTCATTAAAAACGTCCTTTTCTGCCTCCGTTTTCCAGGAAACAGAACACTAAGTGAATCTCTGGTTAGCCTGGCGACACAGCACCCCCCTGTGGAGTGTGACCACACAGCACCCCCCTGTGGAGTGTGACCACACAGCCCGTGGTCTCCTGCACTGCTGTAAAGTGAACACCGTGGCCACACCAGCAGCAGCTCGACTGAATTCACCATCCATCACTTTCACACGCCGGTCGTTGTAACAAAGCACCTACACTAAAGGCCACAGACTTCTTCTTCCTCTGAAGAGGGTGGAGGAGGAAGAGGAGGAGGAGGAGGAGGAAAAAAAAAAAAAAGGTTCCTCCACCTTTTCAATCTCTGTTTGACTGTGAATCTGCAGTGAGCAGCAGTTTGTACCAAACACTTCACCTTCTCAGAAATACATCACTTAGGAGGTTCTGTTCACACACACACACACACACACACACACACACAGGCCGGGTGTGTGGGTGTGTGTGTGTGTGTGTGTGTGTGTAGTCAGTAATCCATCACAATTAGTCACTTCTATAAAGGGATGAGTGTATTTTAAATTTAAAAAAGCCTCAGTAATGATTTCTGTGGAAGGCAGGTCAACACACACACACACACTCTCTCAGCGTCAGCCATCATTAAGAGAAAACATTCATCAGTTTCCCTCCACGTCTGTCTGCCGTGTCCCCTGAGCCCAGAGCAGCAGCAGCAGCAGCAGCAACATATTCAAGGCTGTGATGCTGAGGGGAGGGGCTTCTTGGGGTGTTTTTGCGATGGGGGGGTCAGAGGGTTGTTGGTCCAGAAAAAACCCCAAAACACTCCAGTAAAGTTCACATCAGGATAAATGAGTGACCTTTAACCTGTGAGAAGTTGGAGTTTCTTTAACAGAACAGGGTTAAAGGTCATTCATTTATCCTTTCAACAGACAGACTAAAGTTCATTAAAAATAATAATAATAATAATTAAAAAAAAAAAAAAACTTTAGCAGCCTGGCCCAGTACTGGAGATTTACGGCACGATAGTGGTCCTCGAACCAGTGTTTGGGTGAAGGTGCAACATTGAAGAATATGTAACAACAGAAAAACGTACAATAGGATAAACTGTAAGAACGAGGAAAGATGGTGAGACACTGACACTGACTGACTGTCTGTCTGACTGACTGACTGACTGACTGACTCTGGTTGTGTCTGTTCTTAAACAGCAGCAGTGACTGAATCTCAGGTCATGACTTCAGTCTGAGTGACAGAGAAACTGTTGGGTTTTCTTCCCCTGAACCTGAACCTGTGACAGTGACAGTAACAGTGACAGTGACAGTGATTGTGACTGTGATTGTGACTGTGACACCACGTTACCTTTAAGAACTTGTAATGCTGCTCCAGATCTTCGTCTTTAAAACCTGTGCCGATCTGAAAAGACAGAGAGAAAAAAGAAACGGCAAAACAGATGAGAACGACGCACACATTTACTCTGTGACAACGTCGACAGGAGGAGGAGGAGGAGGAGGAACACAGAAAAGCATACAAATCTCACCCCCCCCCCCCTCCACCAGTGCCTTTGCTCTGCCTGGAGCTGCATGTCACCACACTCTAAAGACCTGAACCCGCTGAGACACCAGCGTCAGCTAATGGGCTGACATGTACAGAGACACAGAGATAACTGCAGGCGTGACGTCTGCAGGCGGCGTTTCCTTCAGGAGGTGTAAAAAAAAAAAAAAATGTTCAAGTTGAATAAGAGGCAAATATGGGATTTTCCAGCTCAGAGGCTGCGTCTGAAAAGATGAATTCTGCAGGAGTCTGCCACCTCGACGCCTCCAGGCTGCATTCAGAACAGGCTTTACAGAGGGGCTTCATTCATGTGTTGCATCTCTATGTGTTCGGGTTTATCTGTCTCACCAGGCGGCTGCGCTGTTTACACTTTTACACACACACACACACACACACAGACACACAAACACCGGAACCCGATTTTTTTCTTGGTTCCAGGCAATTTCCTTCCCAGTTGTTTGGGAACAGTTTCTGTTCAGCTCAGTGACACGTTCTAACTTCCTGATCAGACTGTAAACAAGCAGGTGAACCTCAGATCTTTGTGTCGGTGAAGTTAGAGACCTGTCGGCCGACAGAAGGTGTTTAGGAATAAAATACATCTGAAGACGACTGAGGTGAGACGCTCAACGCACAGGAGCGTTGTAGCTAACGTTAGTTCTGGTGTCTGTACCCGGACTGTTGTAGCTACCGTTAGCTCTGGTGTCTATACCAGGACTGTTGTAGCAAACGTTAGCTCTGGTCTCTGTACCAGGACTGCTGTAGCTAACGTTAGTTCTGGTGTCTGTACCACGACTGCCGTAGCTAACGTTAGTTCTGGTGTCTGTACCCGGACTGTTATAGCTAACGTTAGCTCTTGTGGCTGTACCAGGACTGGGGTAGCTAACGTTGGCTCTGGTGTCTGTATCAGGACTGTTGTAGCAAACGTTAGCTCTGGTCTCTGTACCAGGACTGCTGTAGCTAACGTTAGTTCTGGTGTCTGTACCAGGTCTGCTGTAGCTAACGTTAGTTCTGGTGTCTGTACCGGGAGTGTCGTAGCTAACGTTAGTTCTGGTGTCTGTACCAGGCCTGTGGTAGCTACCGTTAGCTCTGGTGTCTGTCCCAGGACTGTTGTAGCAAACGTTAGCTCTGGTGGCTGTACCCGGACTGTTATAGCTAACGTTAGCTCTGGGGTCTGTACCAGGACTGTCGTAGGTAACGTTAGCTCGGGTGTCTGTACAAGGACTGTTGTAGCTTACGTTAGCTCTGGTGTCTATACCAGGACTGTTGTGGCTAACGTTAGCTCTGGGGTCTGTACCAGGACTGCTGTAGCTAACGTTAGTTCTGGTGTCTGTACCAGGCCTGTTGTAGCTAACGTTAGCCCCGGTGTCTGTCCCGGGACTGTTGTAGCTACCGTTAGCTCTGGTGTCTAGAGCAGGGATGTGGTAGCTAACGTTGGCTCTGGTGTCTGTAACAGGAGTGTTGTAGCTAACGTTAGTTCTGGTGTCTGTACCAGGCCTGTGGTAGCTACCGTTAGCTCTGGTGTCTGTACCACGACTGCCGTAGCTAACGTTAGTTCTGGTGTCTGTACCGGGAGTGTCGTAGCTAACGTTGGCTCTGGTGTCTGTATCAGGACTGTTGTAGCAAACGTTAGCTCTGGTCTCTGTACCAGGACTGTCGTTGCTAACGCTAGCCTTGGTGTCTGTACCAGGACTGTGGTAGCTAACGTTGGCTCTGGTGTCTGTAACAGGACTGTTGTAGCAAACGTTAGCTCTGGTGGCTGTACCCGGACTGTTATAGCTAACGTTAGCTCGTTTCTAAAATTTTCCAGTTGGTTAAATGTCATTAAAAATGTTCTTTTCTGCCTCAGTTTTCCACTAGTGGTGGAGGAAACGGAACCAAAAGTGAATCTTCCGTTAGCCTCCTGGCACAGCGCGTGAACACCTGCGTTTTACGCAGTTAATAAAAATGACGCCTTTCACATGTTTATATGTGTTCATAGTGAATACTGTGAGGCTAATGAAATACTCTGACCTCAGTATTCGGCGCTGGTGCAGTTTTGTGGTACGTCTCAGGAGCCGAGCGGAGACTAATGAGGACCTGAATAAAGAACTTTGTTTTGGCACGCTGCCAAAAAAGACAAATTACCAACACTAATCACTGCTCCTGAATGCAGCATGTAAACACAGACAGGAGGTGGTGAGGGCGGGGGGGCAGGAGGGGGGGGACGGCACAACAAGTGTACTGCCGTTCTCTGGTGTAAACACAGTAAATAAAGTCATTTATTCCGGGGGGAATTACATCAAGGTTTTCATGCGTTATTAGGAAACTTTGCTCCGACGCCGCGGTGCGTTCGAGGAACATCGGGTTATTTTTAAATATCCGACGAGTCGCGTTGAAATCTTTGGCTGTTGCGTCCTCTCCTCCGGCCACGAGAAACAAAACGACACCGACAGCGACATCGTAACGTTTCACGCTGCAGAATATGAACATTCTGAGGAGGTGTGTGTGTTTGTGTGTGTGTGTGTAGTTCTGAGGAGGTGTGTGTGTGTGTGTGTGTGTGTTCACAGCTGTGTTGTTCAGTCACAGTGACAACAGGATTTACCTGAAGGGTTGACCTTCAGTCCTCTCAAAGGTCACCATCAGATTTTTATCTCCTGGTGTTTGGCATTTAATTTTGAGTTATGGTCAAATTTGGGTTTTTGACAACATAACGACTTTGACCTTTAGGGGGCGCAAGATTCTAAACCTGAGGTGGGACATATCTTTGGTGGACTGGGGGTGGGGAGGGAGGGAGGGGGTCACTCCCACTTGTTAACTCCACCCAAACTGTCCACTCCCACCTGTGTGTGAGGACCTTGCATTAACCTGCCACACGGGGCGCTGTCACGGGTTAGATTCCAGATATTAGCCTTGAATATTTACACATTAGCTGCAAGAGAAGATATTTAATAAATCATCAGCTCCATCTTTCCACACTGTGGCGCTGTCGCGCTCACTAACCCTCGCTGGGTTATTTTACCCATTTTTTACAACAATAATATAAATTGTTTTATTAATTTTGTAGCAGACCAGAACCAGGGGTTGAGAACCCTTCTTTCGACACAGGATTTTTCTGCATCAAAAGCGTTGAATTTCTCTGGTTTTGATTGGACGTCGATGAACTCTGAGCTGTTTATCATCATCATCTCTGCACCAAAGTTTAGGATTTCAAAATAAAAAAAAAAAAAAAAAAAAGGTTTCTTTGGAGTCACTGACCTTACAGACGGACTGGAACTCCTCGTTCTCCTCATCGTAGCAGGCCAGCAGGAAGCCCCCGTAGGTGCCCGTCCTCTTGCCCTTCCCCAGGTAGGCGCCGATCACGCACAGGTCCACGGTGTCTCCGACGCCCTCTAGGTAGTCCTTCTTCAACTGCAGGATAAAGTCCAGTGAGTTTGGAACAAAAGTCAAAGGCAAAAAAAAAAAAAAAACCTGAAACTTAAGTCTTGGTTTTAATAATAATAATAACGCCACATCTGTTCCACCTAAAGAGAGAAAAAAAACGTTTCATTATGCGTGAATAAAAAGCCCGAGGCTCGGAATATATTAAGACGTAAACACGAGTGGTATTTATAAAACGCTGCTTCCTGGAATCTTCCAGAACCCAGAGCAGGCTGGGTAAAAAAAAAAAAAAAAAAAAAAAAAAAGTGAAATCAGTCACTGTTTTTTTTTTTTTTTTTTTTGAGTCGTGTGAAAAATGTCTGTCTTTAGTTTTGACGACAACTCATCGTTCATTTAAAAGTTCACGCTGATTCTAATTCCTCGACTGAAACAAAGCTGTTTTTGTTCTGCCATTAAAAACTTTTTTATTTATTTATTTATTTATTTAAATTTTACGTCTGTTATGATTCATTGTTTTCTAATGTAACAACAGAATGAAGTCTGTGAGCCCTAGAGGAACTAGGGAGGTACTGCAGGAGGGATGATTTTTTTTTTTTTTTTTTTTAACATTTTCCACAGTTATGTTTCACTGTGAAAACACAGAACTGAGAGACAATGATGACATCATCGTCACATCAGTGGACAGGTTGGTCTGGGCTGCGGATGTTAGAAATATTGATTTAAATATAAATATTGATTTAAATATAAATATTGATTTAAATATAAATATTGATTTAAATATAAATATTGATTTAAATATAAATATTGATTTAAATATAAATATTGATTTAAATATAAATATTGATTTACTAAAAAACATGTTACTGCACCTTTAAATGTGACAATTTTTTTTGTTTTTTGTTTGTTGTCTTTGTTATTGGAGGCTTTTAACGTGAGAGAAGTGAAGAGAAGGTTCCAGATTTCACTCTTCTTATTTTCTCTGGTGGCGTCGCAAACAATCGTCGACGGTCGACGAGCGTCTCCACGTTTACAAGTGTCTGGGAAATTACTATGGTTTCACAACAGTGACCTTCCCCATCCCCTGACACACACTCACACACACACACAAAAACACACACAAAAACACACACACCTTCAGCCAGTTATGAGAGCGCTTGGCAATTTCATAGGTGGCGTCCTTCTCCAGTGTCTTCACCATTAGACCTTCACAGGAATCTAGACACACACACACACACACAGACACACATCATCATCATCATCATCATCAGGAAGAAGGAGGTTCTGGGGGCGGGGA